CACATGGACCTCATCAAGCAATTCACAGTTAACTAAACTAAGGAAAAACAAAACAAAAGAAACAGCTTCATCTATGCATGAGGCAACTTTTTCCTTCCGGGTCCAGTCACAAGAAATAGGATAGACACAACAATCGTTCTAAACAAATTCCTGATTCCTAATCTATTGAATGAAAAACCAGTTTAAAGAGGACTGTCTGGAAGAGAAGTCTTAGAAATTATTGTCTGCATCCTGCTTTATGACCATGCAATCCTTAAATTCTATCCTTCAAGGCAATGTGGAGCTCCACTGACATCTTTTAGTCTGAATACATGAAAATAGAAATAGAAGGTGCCCTTCAATCCAACCAGATACTGACTTACTTTAAAGTGATTCAGAGGGTTTTGCACTGTAATTACTAGTCTTATGATACATCCATCCACGTGATCCTTATTGCTATTTACTTGGAAATAAAAGTGGTTCAGGCAGGAATGTCAAACAAAAGAAGAAAGCGTTCTTTGCAGGTTTATGAAAATTGAAAAGTCCTTTGGCTGCTAAAAACACATCAGCAACAGGGTAATTCTTTTAGCTGCATGGCTTAAAAATATATAGGCTGAAGAACTGAAGAACTTCTGCTTTCAAATGAAAGAGTGTTAAGGAAATGTTACAAGCAGATACTCCTTAGTTAAACAGTCCCCTCCCATTTCATATTAATTAAAATAATTTCTGATCAGCTATTCCATTAATAGGCACAAATTCACTTATGTCAAAATTCAGATTATTATTATCATGGGACGTCTTTGTCTGGGGAAAAATATTGGAAAAGATCATCGCAGACCTAAACTCTGCCCAGCAGAGGCTGAGAGAGAGGGACTGGAGTCACGGGTGTAGAAATACCAACATAGAAAGCTCAGGCCTTGGCCAGGACTAGGAATTTTAATTGAAACAATATAAACCTGCTTAGCACTGATTGATTTACTCAAGAGGTGAGCGATTAATAAAAGCTGAGGTCTCAGTGATGTTTTGGCAGCTCCGTGCAGTGATAAGCGAAAAAGATTACTGCAGCAGTCCACCTGAAAGTAATGAAACTATTTTGTTGAACCTTCCAGAAGATTCAATTCCGGTCATGGAATAAACCTGTTTTCGGGTAATACCAGTCAGCAAGAACAGCAGAATAAAAAAACACAAGGGACCTTTCCCAAAGGTGAAATGCAATGTGGGACAAAGAAAGTGTGCCTACAGAGAGTTTTTGTGCTGGATATACAAACACGTTCTTGTCATGCTAATTAACTGCCAGAGCTTTGTAATAGTTACTATTGTTTCTGATTGGTGATTCAATCATACAAAATAGCCTCCTTATCCAGCTAGATTGTCTTATTGAATTTCACAGTCACAGGACTTGATGTCTGGGGAGTTTGAAAAAGAATACACAAATCACTCCACTTACTCCTTCAATATTCAGTGATTAGCCTTTCTGTGAAAGGACGCCGGAAAGCCACACTGTTACTCCTAACGTGCGATTCTACTTCACGCATGTCAGCTATTTCAGAATCTGCAACCTTATTTTTTCTGACTTAATTATAATCACCAGGAGCTGAGCACATGCACTGGTTAAATTCACTTCCTGGTGAGCATTTGCCGTCATTGCTGTGTTAGAGCAGTGCAATATTGTTCTGTTCTGATGTCACTCCTCCAATGTACTCTGAATAATGCAGGCACAGTTAGTCACAAGCAGCTGTATAATTAATTGTGATAATGGGTATTCTTGAACACGTGGAGACAGATATAGTAACCAGGATAATTTCTGAAATTCAGTACTATCTTGTTCTGAACTCAAATTCTCTCTACATTTTGCACTGAAGTAAACCGTTGGAACCAGTCACATTTTCTGCATGCATCTAACTGCTATGATATATCATTTAAGGAGAGGCAGCATAGTTACATATCATTTGCAGTGGAATACTCTGTCCTCCAAGTATTTTAAACTTTATTAATGCAGCGTGGTTTTCTGCAAACTTGAGAAGAATGTTGACAGTGATAATGAGGAACTGCATGAGAAGGAAAACCTCAGAGCTGTGGAGATATATTAATCTCCACTGAATGCATTCCTCTGCCTTTGCCAAATAATGTTGTGGAAACAGCCATGGTTCACTTAAGGGTTACTATTGTTTCGACAAAAGCCGCAAGTACAACGTGGATTACTGACATGATTAAAAAATGCCAGGTGAATGGTGCTGTGGAACAGGCTCGGATTCAGTTACAGTTCCCTGTACCTCTCAGGTGTTCCTGACACGTTCCATTTCTTTCACTTCAGTCTATCGGTATCAAAGTACACACTCTTTAAAGTGAAAAACGACTCAAAGACAAAAAAAAAACAGAAAACAAAATATCCCAGTCTTTGTCGGAATTTGCGCGGCACCCTTTTTCAGTGCGTGACATCAGATAAGTGGTATTCCCAGAAAAAAAAATTGTAAGTCATCCCATGGCGCCAATTTAATAAAAACAATCTTGACGAACAATACAGCACTGTCACACAGTTAGCCCTGAAACATGCCTTCCAAAATGATCAAGTAACCCAGCTCACTGTATCTTTATCTTAAAATCCTGTACAATGCTGGTAATTGGTAGAACTCAAACACTGCCTACAATTCTGAAAGATATGTTTACATACTGTAACAGAGGCATTGTGACTCCTTGTTATTTTCCACTGGTTTGAAATATTATTTATAATAATGGGTGTTCCTCAATCCCTTGAAAATTGCATGAGAATCTCAGATTATTTGCAGATATTAAGTTGTTCCTTAGATGTTTAATTATTTCCTGTAAACCTTCATTCCCACAGCACTAATCACCTTTCTTCTCAAAACTAGTGAGTTGTATTTACAGACTCTCATGGGTTATACCTACTGCCCAATAAAGAATAAATCTAAGAATTTTTGTTCTTGCACAGTGTACCTTTTTAAGGGTGTTTGTTTTAATGGTTACAATTAGTTATTCACTGATAACACCAAGCACAAATCATGTTGTAAACAGGGTTTTCACTGCTTTGCAAAACATTTAACCTACCCTCTAGCTGGTCCAGAACAAAGAGAACTTTTATATACTGTAATTTGTTGCAGGTTTTTTAAAATTAGAATAAAATAAAAATGACTTTTCATTCAGGAATCTTATAGAAAATGAGTATACCATGGGCTAGACATTAACTGTACAGGCAATAGCAATTCAATTGAATTGAGTATGGCAAAAAACATACTGAACATCTTCCAGATAAAATGGGTAAAGAATGAATACCCTGCGTTTTGCAGTTAGCAAATAACCATTGGAGATATAAAATAATTGTGGAGAAAAACATTCAGCTTCTAAATGAAGCTCTGTAAGAGCACATCATCTTCATCAACTGGAATGACCTGACCACCAGCACTGTCTCGAAGCACCTTCTCAGACCTCAGGCCCACCGCCTCTATCCCACAGGAGGAAGCAGCTCTTGAAAGACAAGGACAATCGAGCCCATTGAGGCGTCGGCTAAGATAAATTAGAAGTGAGGGTTTTTGACAGCACACAAGAGTCCCTTCAGCTCCATATAGCCAAGTTAGCAGACGTTCCAAGAAGCGTTCCGGGTATTTTTTTCCTTCCTGCCACTTCGAAATGGTAAATTGCACTCCGTAAAAAGGGCTGGCTGGGATCCAAGACTAACATTCCAGCGGGCATGAGGGCCACTGCTTGCATTGCTGCACGTGACCCTCCACACTGCTATCACGGAGATCACCTCTGCCACCCTGCGCTGGCCTGCTCTCAATAATCACTCCTACTTCCTCCACAACACGGCTAATCTTAACGTGGAACTGGGGCTTCTGCTGTTCCTTTGCTATATGACCAAGGATTGACTTTGCCTCTTTTTTACTTCAGTGCATTGCCTAGATCCACTGTCTGTTCTCCACCCTAGTGGTTCTGACAGCGTCTTCAGGGAACTCCCTAACTAAGCCATTAACTGAACTATTTTCTCAACGATCTCATTTCTTTTTTAATTGTTTTGCTGCTTTTGTCCTGGGTTTCATAAGTACCGTTAAGTAAGGCTGGATTCTGGCCAAGGCAGAGTGGGTTCTATCTTAAACCTGTAAGCACAGACTCAGGGGTGTCCAAGAATCTCCAGAACTTAGTAACGAGATACTTTGGAATTCTAGTGTTAAAAGATGAAATTACTTGTGAATTAAGGGACTTTTCAACCAAATCGTGGTAGTTTAGAACTCGGCAGGACCAGAAAACAGAAAGTAAAGTGATCCACAGAGACTACAGCGGGGAACTGCTGCTCTAGCACGTGACTATCAGTCACAAAAACAGGAGACCTTACTTTATGAACAGAGGGCAAAGAGCACAGTGTAAAACATGAGTAAGAAAATGAAGAACTAATGGTTTGAAAAAAAATCTAAGGACTTTGTTATTGCTATTGTTATGTTTAGAAAGAACAGAAGTAAGAAACAGAATTGAAGACTGCACTGATTTTGCGTAAGTGTCTTAGGGAACAAAAATGTCATGGGTTCACCTAATCTTCGTTTACAGGAAACGAGGCTGGAACTGCAGAGCCGGGTTGGAGGAAACAACTTGGCTGTGGCGGTTGTGTATCTCACTGCTGGATGTGTGGTGATGACAGGCAATACAACGTCATTACCACTGTCGCTGTGTTAACAATTTATAGATACAAGGGGAATTTTGTAAAGCATCTGCAAGATGTTAAAAGCAAATCACGATGACAGGATCACATTAGCCTGAAGAAAAGCACACTGTAACCGAAATCTGCTGCAGTGTGCCGGCCCGTTCGTTTAACTAATGGTCTTACTGAAAAACAACTTTCCCAGTAAAAATATCACAATTTTTATTGTGTCATTGCATGTACTGACAGCAGCTGTTAAGAATCGGAAGAACTGCTGCTACTGCCAAGAAAAGAACTCCCTTCCCACTGCTCTTTAAGGGCAGCACATCTTCAAGAAGCTCCACATTACGATGCCTTAAATTGAAGTTCTTACCTTCCCGCCTCTTCATTCGCAGGTCCTCCTGTGGTAATTGGAGCTCCTCTCTCTCGGTCGCCTTGTCATCGTGGTACTTCTCCCCAGGTCTGGTCAGGCTCCTGTTGTCAGCTCGTGAGAATGAGGCGATCCTCTGGAGGATGGAGCCCACACTCTCCTTTGGCGGAGCAACTGCCTGGGAGAGCTCACTGCTGACCGCAGTATCTTGGAGAACCTTCTGAAGGGCAGGCTCTGGCAGAGACTCGGGGCTTAGCAGAACAACCTGTGGCTGCGAGACGATTTTAAACTGGGGGGTCTGGGGCGGGGAGAGGAGAACTGGAGATGCACTGACACATGGGACAGGGAAAGATCCTGGAGGGTGAACAGGCACTGTTTTGGCCATATTACCATAGGGTGATGCCCTCTCTATGTTGTCTAAGCTGTTTAATGCAGCAGGGCTGGAAGAACCAGGGAGGCTGTTCAGCTTGGAGCTGGATCTTGGGACAGCTTTGGGCACAACCTCAGGAGGAGCTTCTTGAGGCCTGGCCACCAGGTTATCCAGATCCAGAGGGAACTTGTTAAGCCTCATGGGCTCCTTGGGTTTTGGAGCCCGGGTGCTGGAGGAGAAAGACGGCTCCCGTTCAAGTGGAAAGGAATTCTGTCGGTGAGATACAGAATTCCAGGAAGGTCCAGTGTTGCCATACCTTAGGCCTGGAGAGCTTGCACTTGTTATCCCTCGACTTTCAGCGATGTGGAGATCCAAGGAGGGCATGGAGCCATGGTTCAATCCAATCGGCTCAGCAGCTAAGACCATGGGAGGCTCCACCTCGGAATGGAACATGTTTCCATGGGATGAGAACTTCTTCAAGGCAGGGCTGTAGAGGCGCTGAGTCTTGTAGTCGCCTACACCCATTGGACTTTGGGGAGGGCTGGCATAGGAGGTCATTTTGGAAGAGGTTTGATATTCTAGGCTAGAGGAAGAGCTATGAAGGCTGTCATTGTCACTCCCCGGACCTGATGAAGAGGAGAAGCCATTGGGGTTGAATTTAGTCTGAAAAGAGGAGACTCGAGTAATGCCGGAACCTGCACTACCGTTGGTTTTGGCAACGGCCATTGAGCCACGGTTAAAAGACAAGCTGCTGACCATTTTATTCTTCAGAACTGGACTCTGGGCGGGACTGGAGCCGATGCTGATCCGCGACTGGTAGGATGGAGGAACATGGGCTCCTGGTCCTCTGCCATCAGTGGTCTTGTTTATGATGAGGCCAGCGGGGGTGGGACTGAAGGGAGAGTTGAGTGGAGAGGTGGGAGAGAAGGTGGGGATCTCATCCACATCCTCAATGTCGAAGGACCTCTTCAACGCTGTGAAGACAAAGAGGCACACTTTAAAGACTGCAAAGAATCAGAAGACAAGCAGTAAGGCCTTCAACCTCAATAGAAATTTGAATTAGAATTTAACACTGGATAGGAGGTCCATCTCCAAACCACACTGCCTCAGACCTACACTTTGTTCTCCTGTACTGACACTATATGCCTCCATTTGTTTAAAGCATTGCGTTTCACTCACAGGCCCACACAGTGCATACACAGAAAAGACCTTCAAAGAACTTTCTTGTGTCTCCATCATGAAATGTCTTAAGCAAACAGCATGGAAATTAAAGTAATGTTATGTTATTGGCTTTGATCTATCAGGACCAATGCCAAACCATTCAGAGAGTAAATGTTTATGAAAGGATTAATCTAAGATCTTGTTTCATGTAGAAGCACAAAGATGAAGCTACTAGTGAAAGGGCTGAGTAATTTGGATTCCCCAGTGCGGTATATTTTCAATGAGCATGGAAGAAAAACCCAATGATTTTGTAATCACATTTCTTAAGACAACATGATGCTGTGCTCACAGATGTTGATATTGTAATGTGAGATTTATTTTACATTTATTTTAAGAAAAAGATTAATAACTATTAATAAATGAAGAACAGCATTACGGATTCCGGGTGACTCAAAGTTTATCCCTTACTGAATAGAAATTCCCTGGGAATGTAGATAATGTGAATGTAAGCCTTCAGTGCTGCTTTCTCAGAAGCAGTGTTAGCAGTGGGGTGATAATTATAACCATGACTATTTGATCTTTCTTTGAGGTTTGCATGACATTACTGAACAAAGGCACACTTCAGTCCTGGAGACAGGTTGGAAAAAAGAACCGATCTGCAGCCTAGGGCAATGAATGAACCCTATTTTTATCAATTACTACACAAACAAGCTAACTGGATGACTGGTAAATGCAACCGTTAACCATGTTATTGTCAACACCACAGAACAAGGTCTAAAGAAGTGGTTGTATCCATGTGGTTTTGTAATTGAACACTTTGGTATAGCACTTGAGGTTTTATTTGTCTTCCTTTGGCAAGGACTTTTTAAAAGAGGTGCACAAGCAAAGGCAAATACCAGTGAGTGAACCACTGTCCTGTTCAGATCAGAGCATGCTTGTGTTTACAACCACAGTCAGACCCTCTGAGTGAAGCACTATAGTTGAACCTGGGCCTAGCTACTCAGTATCTCACTACACTGTGGTCTAAAAATACCATGATCCTTGCCTTCCAGACAGGAATACACTCACAAAACACATAGAAAATTAAGAAACACCCCATAATCCTTGGCTTAAGCTTCACTCGTGCAAGACAGAATCCCGCATTTTCTCTTCTCTAGATTGTTAAAAACCACGGCTGTTTAAAGTCAATATATTTTAGCGAATACAAACTGCTTTTTTCAGGAAATAAGCAAATATTAAAAGACAGTTCAAGTGGGGAGCTGCGTCAGCATGCGCAGGCTGCAAAGGAACAAGTAGTAGGTTTATTCCAGGCTGAAAAGAGAAGAAAGAAAACACAACGTTTCGGCTGTGGAGCCTTCTTCAGGTGTCAACCGGTGTCACGGCCTCACAGGCTCCACAGCCGAAACGTTGCGTTTTCTTTCTTCTCTTTTCAGCCTGGAATAAACCTATTACTTGTTCCTTTGCAAATATTAAAAGACGCCCAACTCTTCTTTTTCGGTTTTACCGATTCCCAAGGTCTGGGAGCACTCCAAGCAATTATGCTTATTACTTTAAAATGTTGTGGATATCAAGATGTGCTCAACATCTCTGCATTTGAACAGATGATTGCAAGTTCATAGCAGGACCCAGCCAGTGACAGAAAGAGCAGTGTAGGAGGGAAGCAAACTACTTTACTGTGTTGGCTGCCCCAGGCTCCTTGGTAAAGGAGATCTATTGTTCTAGGCTGGGTGACTCGAGCAGAAAGAGGCAGGGGCTTGCGGAACACAAAAGCCATATTATCTAAAAACCCTAACTGGCTGAAGGCATGTGTTGAGCCCTGTGCTAACGCCATCAGTACCAGTAAAGCAGGTGTGTTTTGAATCACAGCAGTTTTCCAGTTAATCGTGGTGTTCACATCGGGGACTCATGCACAAGCATTATGAAGCATGCGTTACAAACAGAAAAATCAGTCATCTCCAATCGGAGCAAGACTACAGCATTATTGTCTTTCATGTTTCAATTTTAATAAAAAATATTTTGGCAGGGGTCAATGATGAGAACAACTGATTATGTTTTAGGTTAGGTTGTGTAGCAATTAAACATTCCACTAAAATATATATAAACATTGATTTACAAACTGAAACACTTTAATCATTTTGCTTTATCAGAACTATAATGCACCAGTCTTTTCATCTATGGTAGAGAATCTACATGAATGAGTTTAAACTCCAGTCCTTTTTTACACCCATCCATTAGCTGGTCTTCCAGTGTTTTTTTTTTCCCCCAAGTCAAAACTGATCTGCTTTAGTTTACTTTAATCCTCCTCGGCTGTCACTGCGATGCTACAGTTGTTATTAGTTCACATCCTGTGCGTGTCTGCAAAGTGTGCCGAGGGGTGGTCTAGCCCAGCACTTGAGCGAACAGTCCTAACTGTGATGATGGATCTCAAGTGTTTCTGCTGGGAAATAAAACTATAAAGGCTGAAAAAAAAGAAAATGGTTGAAAGTAGAAAAGGTGTGGATAAGACTTCATTTAATAAAATGTATATCCAATGCACTGTAATCTAAACACATTTGAGGTGGTTTAGTTCTCTTTTCCCCACAAATCCCTTCAAATGTGGTATTGTCAAATTCCATTTGAGGTCTCTCATCTCTGTAAGGCACAGATTGAAAAAAAGTCTGACACGTTCCACCTGCTTTTACTTTAGTGTGTACACAGTATAGTATATCTAAACTGAGATTCTGAGTTTGGCAATTGGTGATTAAGGCACACACACAGTGCATACTGTGGCAGGGTGACTTGCTGTATGTGCCTGTAATAAATTAACCAAATTGCTATGGTGACTGCTGATTGCAGCTGACTTGCTGCAGGATTGAATAAGACAGTATTGTTCACACTATCACATACGTTAATAACACAGCAAGTTTGATGTATAAAATGTGGCAAGTCTAATCTACTTTCAGGTCATGTGCTATATCATTAGACTCTGAAGCTATGGTCTGCAGCTAAAGCAGCATTTGGCTTTCACATTTTGCATTCAGTTGATTGCTTTCCAAAATGGGAATGATTCCCAGAAGATCATGTGCACATACAGAACATTTTGAGTCTCAGAATCTGAGGTCACAGAAGCTTTGAAAGGAAACTAAGAAGGGGTTTCCCATATCCCAGATCCTGACTGCAGCACAAAACCATGTGGCCAGGAGCTCCGGGGCTTGGGTTGAGGTGGCTGGGAGGGAGAGAGCAGACACTGTCTGCTACAGCAGGGTGCACCCTGTACCTCTATAGGCTGTCACTTGTCCTCCAACTGGCATCAACAGCCTGACCTCTGTATTCAAGGTGTGCACTAAGGCAAAAAAAAAAGTCTCCAGGTCCTCTCAGACAAGGGAGAGAGCCTCTTGCTCAAAGTTGGGTGGAATAATAAGTGGTTGGTCCAAAACTGAAGGGAAAAAATATCTGTGAATAGAGTAACTTTCCATTAAAATGTTTCATGAAATCAGGAGAACAGACTTCAACAGATGCTGTTCAATACAGAAGCACTGTAATATGGTCTTGCTTTTCTCCTCCTTTTTGCAATGCAATTAGCCCTGGCCACCTGTTGGAGCAAGTCTCAGTCGGCACATGACTGGACAATGTTAGAAAAGCCAGGCAGCAGGCAGGCTTGTCAGGGCTGTTGTGTGGCCTGCTCTCTGTGCTCCCGGAGGAGAAACACCCCAGCCTCTCACCGGAAATGGCCGTTCTTCCTCTTGCACAAAGGCTGAATTCACAAACGGGGGATCTTCTGGGGCTGTGGGCGGAGGTTCAGATTACGACAGCTTGCGTTTTGACCCAGAATTCCAGAGCTGAACAATGACAGCAGCTCAGCGTATAGCTGCCTGTCTTGCTGGATTTGTTATGACATTCACCGTGAAGAAATAATCCTGAGGAGGAACTAGGCCTGTGGGTTTTGTGCAGTGAACAGAGGTCCCTAACAGACCCCAGGAAAAACAAATAATGGCACTTCTTTATCCTCGCAGAAAGGAGACTGCTCTTTTCATCCATCTCTGTCTCAGGACTGTCCATCTATTGATATAATAGCAATCTACTCCTTTTCCAACATTACCTCAATGTGACAAAACATTATGTTTGCATTCAGGTATAAATATGCTTTTTAAAAAGCAAACACTTTTAGTAAGCACTGGCCAAATCTGTACATACTGTATCGGAGCATCATGCAGCATTTACTCTGCCTGACCTTACCTCTTTAAAAAGCTGTATTATTCAAGATAGGGAATACTGGAACAGAACTGGCTTCAATGCCATATTTTTGCATGTTTTCTGCAAGGGTGCATAATGGCATGGAAAGAAGATAAAGTGCTGATTTTATCAAATGTTGTACTTAGACTCACCTCCGGTAAAGTTTTCATCAGAACTCCTGTACTGTACTTGATACCAAAGATTAGAGCACAGCACATCACAAGGCTAATGAAGTCAGTGTTTAAATTAAGAGCTCTTCCCTGTTTTTTAAACTTCCATATGGTACACATCTGTAAGACTTTAATAGCTAATAAAATCCCCGCACGGTGTCCTGTCACATTATATACACATCCATTCCTGTTTATCAAACAAATGCTTTAAGTTCCAACATTATTTCCACAGCAAAGATGTAAATTTGTAAAAGTGTGCAAGTAGCATCCAAGACATCTGTCCATACTGACCTAGCCTGCTGCGATTTAGGAAGTCAAGGTAACTGAGCACTTGTTTTCCTATCTGCTGAAAGTGAAAAAGTGCAGACAGTTGGCACGCAGAAATTTCAATTTAATTTCCAGAAATGAAACACTGTTTCACATAACATGCA